ATCACTTTTCCTCTTGTAGATACACTGTTCCATCTGGAAGTCAAGATTGGTGCCACCTAAATGGGTTCCCACCCTAAAGGATTTGAGAACATCCCTTTCCTTCATTTACAGATATCAAGGGCTCCGAACATTGTGTAAGTTTTCCTTTAAATTACAACTTAAGCCCAGAACAGTGCCATATGGACTCTTCTCTGAGTAGTGCGGAAAGGGTGATGAGCCACATTTAAAGGCTGATAAGCCACATTTTTATTAAAATGTAGGTGTTTGTTACCTAGGTTTGTTTTGTTGTTACTCTATAGTAGGCGCCTTGGTATTTTTTCAAGTTCAGTTTGGTTTTGATATATAACTTTTGTTTTTCAGGGAAGTTTATCCTTCCTTTATCTTGAGCTATAATCTGGCAAGATAAATTATTCTAGGTTGGAAAACTTTCTCATTGAATACTGTAAGGATCTCTTGCCATTTTCTTTTAGCCTCTAAGGTTTCCACTGAGATGTTTATAGTCAGTACGATAGGTGTTACTCTTCTTTCTCTCAACGTTCTTTGTATTCTTTCCTTTCTATTAACTTTCTGAACACTGAATTATAATATATGAGACTGGTATTATTTTATTTGGAACTCTTAGGGACTCTTGGATCAGGAGTCTAGTTTATTACCCAGACTGAGGTGGTTCTCAGCAATTATTTCTTTAAATAAAATTTCTATGTCCTTTTCTTTCTTGTCTCCTTCTGTCCCCACAGGATGGATATTTCTCTTTATATTATCCCAAACAGCTCTTAAAACTGCTTTCATTTTTGGAACTCTCCTGCACTGTTGGTGGGAGTGCAAACTGGTCCAACCACTATGGAGAGCTGTGTGGAGATTTCCTGACCTACTAAACATAGAGCTTCCATATAATCCAGCAATTCCACTACTAGGTATTTACCCAAAGGAGACAGAAGCATCAATTCCAAAGAGCACCTGCACCCCTATGTTTATAGCAGCACTATTTACAATAGCTAAGCTTTGGAAACAACCCAAATGCCCAAAAATAGATGACTGGATCAAGATGTGGTACATATACACCATGGAATATTACTCAGCATTCAAAAAACACATGCAATTTGCAGCAACATGGATGGCGCTGGAAGGGATCATGCTCAGCAAAATAAGCCAGAAAGAAAAAGAAAAATACCAGATGGTCTCACTCATAGCAGGAATCTAGAAAACTTAAATAAGGGACCAGGAAAATGAATAACTATAAGAAAGTGAAAATCAAAATCAACAAAAAACTATGAACCAGAGACATTTTTTGGGGGGTGGGGGGCGGGAGGGGAGGGATTGGGGTCAGAATGGGGTTGCAATTGTATGGGGAATATAAAAATAAAATTTATAATAAAAAAACAACTGCTTTCATTTTTTAAATTATACTTTCTCTTATTATTCTATTTGTGTGTTCTCTGCCACTAAGTTTTCTGATTCTGTTCACACTCTCTGTGTCATTCAATTCAGTATTATTATTATTTAAATCCATTCATTCTATTTGTAGCAGGCTCATATTTTCTCTGCCTTTGTGATGCTCTTGTTTTGAGCATCCACTGCCTTTCCTAACTAATAAGCATAATTACAACTGTTATCTTAAACTCCTCATCAGGCATATTCTACAGTTCTGCTGGATGGAGACATCTCTCATTTTTTTCTCTCTACTATTTGCTGTATGTTCTTCTGTCTCCTCACTTTTAGTTTTTATGAGTTTTAATATGGAGCTTCCTTTTCTTGTATATAAGTTGGTTTTATACTCCATCTACAGGTAGCTGAGTATATCACTAGATTTTTGTTTCCTTATTGAAAAATATTTGTCAAGGATAAATAAAAGTCCTATACATTAAATATCAACAGATGTTCATTACTGATTATGAGTCAGGGTGTAACACTGAGGGAATCAGATAATCAAAATATCATCTCATGGTAGAGGAGTGATAATTCAATTCCAACACTGGATGTAATAGTGATTTACTCACAAGATACAATAAACCCATCAAAAAAAGGCCATCACTTTAGCCAACTTAAAATAACACAACAGAAAAATGGTTTTGAATCATAATATGAAATTTCCAATAATCTCATGTCTTAACAAATCAATCAGATATTGTGGAGTTATACTGTCACAGAATTTCAAGATTCCCATTTCCTTGGTTTTTTTCAAGCTACTATTAATGAATGAAAACTAGTCATACATAGTCACTGATACTTAGTTAACTAAGTTAGTCTTTCGTAAGTGAAGAGAAATAAAAATTTAGTATGAAAAAAACATCCAAGTGTTGAGTCTCTTAACAGGAAAAAATTAAAAAGCATTGTAATTAATCTTTCCTGCAAAAAAAAGGAAAGCAATCTAAATCTGTTACGGCAAATTTGGAAAGATAAATATTTCCTACTCCAACAATATGTGTTTATTCTTGGATATACTTGAATCATCTAGGCATCTATGAAGCAGGAATCTGTGGCAGTTCAAATACATCCTTATTCTTTGTGGAACTGCAGGTGCAGATGCTGCTTCATCCAAGTAAGAACTGTCTTCATTAGTCAGAAGCTCATCACCCAGTGCATTCAACTCTGCTTCTACGTCAACTCCATCTGACTCTGGGCTGCCATAAGTAAGACTTGGTGCTTTTTGGATTTCATTTCTGGTCAATTTTCACTTGTTTGTATGCTTTCTTTATTCCCTTACTCCTACTTTTATAATATCATCTGTGGTCCTTCAATGACTGGATGACATAGATGGCTTGTTCCATATTAAATGACTGTTGGTTGCAGTCATTGGCTTTAATGGTTGGCTTTAAAAACTGCAAGGCTTGGGCCTCCCCGGTGGCGCAGCGGTTGAGCGCTGGGTTGCGAAGCTGCCCACGGCCTCTGTGGCGCCGGTTCGATCCCCGGCTGCTCCCCGGCTGCTCCCCGGCCACCAGAGGAGGGTCCCACATGGCATGCAGACCTCTCCTGCCGCCCGCTGCTCCCCTCAGCAGTGTACTTCGGTCCTTCTGCCTGCTCTGCTCCCCGCTCTGGCTCTGGTGAATTCTCTCACCCTCCTGCGCTTCTGACTGTACCCAGTACACGTATAAACAAAACAAACAAACAAACAAATAAATAAATAAAACATGCCTCTAAAAAAAAAAAAAACTGCAAGGCTTTCTGCTTGACCATATTTTCTGCAGGACCCTCTTTCATTTTCTTGATCTGGTCCTTATACTTCACTAGGTCAGCATCCAGTCAAGAAATCTTGTCTATGGATTCTGGCCTGTGGTTACTGTTTCAATGTAGTCAGTGATCAGTTCATCTTGAGTGGCAGTGAAGAATACCCTAATACTGGAGCAAAAACCCAGTCTTTTTTTTTTTTTTTTACTAGGTTTTTAACCCTAGCAACTTTAGGTATCTCTTCTTTCATAGGCCAATGCCTCTGCATATATTCACAAGACTGGAGTACCAGTACTGGTAAGAGGTAGTAGGGTAGGAGCCAGGGCAGAGGGCAACAAAAGGTCACCTTCAGTGAGCATGAAGGATTCAAGCTACCTACAGTGCTGCAGGTAGCAGGGCTGTGTTGTGTGGATACACAGTAAAGCTCCTTCCCTAGGTTAAACCCTCAGCCAAAATGTCTCAATCTCACGCCAGACTCAACCTCTAAGTTGTGGCAGAGCAACAGATACAGCCTTGGATAGGGATTATATCAATAACTGAGACAGAGTCACAAGCAGGATTTATTTTCTTTGCCTTCAGGGAGACTTGTCCTGAAGTGCTTACTCTAATGTTTATGCCAGTTGTTAAGATCTAGGTGCTTCAAACACTGCTTAATGATAGTATTTGCCTCTGGGTGGGGTTAAGGCAGGTTTTTAATATATAATAGTCATAGACTGCAAATAATAGCCTGTGTAAGGAAACAGTCGATCTGATCTGGCTCTTGCCACCGGTTTGGGCTCCCTAGGATCAAAGAGAAAATGACCACTCTTTACCCTTACTTCTACTGTTCTCCAGTGGTGCAACCTCTGTTTGCTCTCCAACTCTGTATCCTTCTTGCACTCTTGTCCAGGTGTAACAGAAAGAACCAAGGCCAGGAAACTTGAGTTTAGTTCCAGCATGTTGGTCATGTATAGTCCCTGGGTTTTAAAAGTCCCCGATGCATGTGTGCCTCTAAATTAACAATAGCAGAGAGATTCTATACACTAGTCACTCCTCCCACTCATGTTGTACTATTCTAGCATCACTCCAAAACATAGTTAATTACAGTTCTTCCTACCCCTCCCTGCTGTGCTCCAAATGCATATAATAGTAATCCATTCATCATTTAGGGGTGGTTGTCCTTGTTTAGGTGTAATTATGTAGAGAGGTGTAAATATGTAGAGAATATGTAGCTGTGTAAATACATAGAGAAATCAAGTCCAGTGTCTTCATTCTGCTGCCATCTTGCTGGATTCTTAATATTTGATCTTTTACAATAAAAGGGAAAAAAGCTTGGGATTCTGGTATGTGAGCTGGAAAAAGTCCCATTTGTAGAAAAGAGTGCTCCCTCTATGAGAGCGTTAAGGCAGTACGAGCTAGAAGATAAGTCATGATGTCATTTTCTTGTTTTTGTTTTTTGTGTGTGTTTTTTTTTTTTTTCCCTTTTCTCCTTTCTGTTGGTCAGAGTGTGCGGGTTTTGTGGGTGGGGGAAGGTAGCAGGGTTCTGATGCTTTCCTTTCTTCTCATGCTTTTACTGCAACTTTCCTCTTTGGGCAGTTTGCCTTTGCCAGAGTCGCCCATTTATCTTCTGTGTCCTGGGTCTCACAGGGACTTGCCGCTTTTCCTCCCTATTAATAGTTTTTATGGGAGAACTTACTCATAGCATTTCTCTGCCACTATGTTGATCGCCATGATGTTATTTTCTAAGCATTCTAACATATCTGCTCTGGTATCTTCTAAGGCATAAGAAGCAGCTACCTTCTGTCTCCCAGATTGGTGATTCATTCAAACCCACTTAGACAACAGTACGTTCATACCTGCATAGACACTGGGAAATCATTCTGAGACTCTGGAGGGAAAAACACATCAACAGTTTTCTTTACAAAAGGCTGGTTTTCTGCTGCAGGCTGTCCAACTTCAATTATGTGTAACTGGAAAAGAGATTCTAGGTCAATCTAAGTAAACATACTTGGTAGCAAACTGATGCTAACCAACACGGTGGTGAGCACAGAATGAGGTCCACAGCTCTGTAAGACTAATAATAAAACTTGAATTCAAACAAGACAAAGTTGCCATGTTACTCACTAAGCTTAATCTGTTCCTTACGTCCAGGTGTAACAGAAAGAACCAAGGCCAGGAAACTTGAGTTTAGTTCCAGAATGTTGGTCAAGTTACTTCCCTGTCTGGGCCTCTGTGCTAACATCCATGAAACAAGGGGTTCCAAATAGGATCTGCTGCCTCCTCCAGTTCCACTTCTCAGCTATCTAGACATAGCTCAGGCTAATAATAATTAGTTATTAGGTAAAATTTCATCATTTAATACCAAACTCACAAGACAGTCTATCATGGCAAAGGTCTGAATTTTTCAAGATTATGCTGTGGCAGGGTGTGTGTGCAAAAATCTTTGGAGGAAAGAAAGTGAATTGGGGGGGGGCATCCCTGATTTTGTCAGAAAAACTTCAAGTTCCCTTCAAATAATGAAAAAATACCATTAGTACCAGAAATGGATGGATGAATGTACACTTAGAGCACAGTCTGGATTGGCCCAAGAGAGAGGAGGGGGAAATGTCAAAGAGCCTAGAAGTAAGAAGAAGAGAAACACAGAAAAATAGGCTAGAAGCAAAGACCTGATGCCGCCAGCAAGCAGAGGCTACTGTCGGTTAAGTGAGGGAGATTTAAACTCCTTGCATACCAGCACTCTAAGGTAAATGGTAATTTAGAAAATTTTTGTTGATGGATGGAGTGGGTTATGAGGACCTAATAAATGGCTATTCCCTAACACAAATATATGGGTGATAACCTATCACAAATGTGAGACTTACCAAAGGCTACACAGTGACAAGAACAAAATGGAATTCAAGAGCCAAAGATTCTTGCTTAGGAGTTAGGCAGAATACTGGTACTTCCCACAGGAATAAGGGCACAGAAAAGAAAGTCAGGCTTCTCCAGGAGGCAGGAAGCAGGGCATGACTATGGTCAAATGGTCCCAACCTGTGGGAAAGTTGGCAACAAGGCACTGGTATCCAGACAAAACTCAGAGCCACACACAGGAATATATAGCAATTCCCTAAGTATAGCAGGGCTGAATTAGAAAGAAGGTGTGTTCAAGGGGCAAAGGATGAGAAAACCGCTGAAGAGAGTCCATACCTTTCACTGTGGGGTCAATCACAAAATGTGAGGCACCCCTTAGAACAGCTGTTGTGGGGATCTGTGTGTGTGGAAGGGCCTGACATGGGAGACAGGCCCCAGCCAGTCTGAGGGAAGTGGCCTGGCTGGTAGCTGAGTACAGGGAGTACAAGTGAGCATGCCTGCCTTACAAGCACCTTCTCTTCTCAGGGTTGTACATGAGGCATTTCTGATGTGCTCTCTTCTCCACAAGAAACTCAGTGAGCAGGTTCTTACCAGGGAGCCTGCAGTTGCCAGATCTATCTATGAGAAGGTAGAAGCCTCATTCTGAAGTGACACAATAGCAAGATCTTTGCTCAGGCTGACACTTTTATCTGACTCCTGTTTTCCTATTGGTTCTCAACAGAGGAAGGCATGAAGTATACTACACAGGAGACAAATAAGTATATAAGTAAGACTATTTAGGATGAGGAAATTTGGGAAGCCATATAATGATAGAAGTTTTCTTCTTTGGGGAATATTAAAGGTTGATGACCAACACAAAACCATGATTTCCGGAAGATTTTCTGACAAGAGTGTGTTCAGATAAGACTGTTTTGAGGCAGCTCTCCAAGTAAACAACACAGCCCTGATGGAACCACAGGTCTCCCTAACATCATGAGCTATTATACTTCCACACCCCTGTCCAAGGCAGCCCTTCCATATAGGTGCTGGCCATGCCCATGAGTTAACAAACCTCAATTTGTTCCCAGGGCATGGCCTTTTCTTTCTAACGTCTCTGGAGTTCCACCACTGCTCCGTGACATAGGACCCCTGCCATAGGCAAGAAAGGCATGCACACATTCTTTGATGGCCTCTAACAGACTTGCGTCTGAGAGCAGAAACTGTGCCTCGCTTATCTGATGATAAGCAAGCACTTAGCCCATGCTCTCCAGCAATTAGCCTATGCTCAGTACACTCTATCAGAGGATTTTTAGGGAAATGGGAATTACTTAGTAGCTGACATCAGGTTACTAACATTATGTAAAGGTTAGCTGCAACATCATCACTATGTATTATTAGGTGAGTGGTTCTAAAAGTTCAACAGCCTTAATTTATAAGAAGCACCTGAAGGGCATTCCCCACTATCAATTACATTTGTATAGACTCCTAACACAGACTGGGAGGAATAGATCTTACCTTGCCCCCTATGGGACTGCGTACAGCAAAACAGAAAAGGGTGGCAGACTTGGCATTCCCCTCGCTCTTGAACTCTGCAAAAGCAGCAGCGTGGCCTTCTATGGGTTGTGAAACCTTCCTATCCACAGAGTAGAGCTGCATTGCTCCCACCACACGATTTTGCTAAGAAAAGACATTTTGCAATGAAAGGGAAAGATGAGTATAAAACAATTATTAAAACAAATAAGTTTCAAATGTTGGTATAGTTCCAATAATAAAGAGTAAGTCTATTAGCTATTAAAAGGTATGACATAACTAAATTTAATGTGTGAAGGTATCTATAAACACTAGGAAAAATGAGAGTACAAAATAGTAAGATAGAAAATCCAAATTTACTAAATGTATTATGTACATATGCGGACATAATGTGTGTACATATATGCATGTGTATATAACGTGTGTATGCATATATATTCACAGAATGTGTATGTGTAGAAAGTAAATCTTAGAAAGAAAAAAAAAGTCAGTCTTAGGAGGAAAAACTCCATAGTTATGAGTAGCTAAATCAGGATGATGGGATTAAAGCCTAATTTGGAAAATTATTTGTGTTTTCATGCAATTTGCAGCAACACGGATGGAGCTGGAAGGGATCATGCTCAGCGAAATAAGCCAGAAAGAAAAAGAAAAATACCAGATGGTCTCACTCATAGCAGGAATCTAGGAAACCTAAATAAGGGACCAGGAAACAAACAACTATGAACCAGAGACACGGGGGGGGGGGCTAGGAAAGGAGGGATTGGGGTCAAAATCAGGGGGTTGCAATTGTATGGGGAATATAAAAAGAAAAAAAAGAAATAAAAAAATTATTTGTGTTTTCTTAGTTTACAAATACAAAAATTATATTTAATAAAACTCAATGAGGCTAATAACTTCTATAAAAACTCAGGAATTATGTTTTATAGCAAACAATTTTAGGACAACTATATCCAATTTCAAGAGCTCCACTAAATAAATGGAACATGAAAGCATCACAGTTGAAGCTCCTAGAATTCAACATTCAAACAATTGTTTCTTATGCCTATCTCATTCCACACCTTATCTTTTTCAAATTTTTTGGTCATTTTCTTATTTGCCTCAAATATCATCTCCTTAGGCAGAAGTGATATTACACAATTGCTGCTGATATAGTTTATCACAAGAGTCTGAAGATACACAAGTATATAGGATAGAGCATGAACCTCAATCTGCCTCCTACCACCTATCTCTCCAGCTTCTTTCTGTAGCTATCTTTTATATATTCCACAGATACAAGCTATGGTAGTTGGCCCTGGTCTCCCAAAAAGAGCATTCATTTCCATTTATATGATTTTTTTGATATGATTTCTCCTCCCAATGTGTACTTTACAGCTAACAAAATGAAGCTTAGAGGCCTCCTTATGTTGTGGCCTTTCCCTGTCTTAAAGTGCTTTCTCATATTTCCCACACCACTCTCTTCAAGTGTTTGACATTCTGGAATCCTGAAGTCATTTTTTCCCCACAGGTTATGGAAAGACATTCAACGGCCAGGTTCAACTAATAAAGACTTATAAGCCCAGTGCCTAACATGCAGTCTTCAAGTATCTGGCGGCTGACCTGTCATAAGGAATGACAAAAGAGAGGAAGACAGAAAGTTACTACTTTTGGTATAAAAGGACATTGAGTTAGTAATATTCCATTAAGCTTTTGGAAGCCGATAAGGCCTTCAAACTGATTCTTATAAACCTAAAGGTTCCAGTGGCTCCATGAAAGTCCTCAATAATTTACTTTTTTTAATTTAAATATTTTATTTTATATAATTCTTACATCTTTTTTCATCTTTGCACAATGTATGCATTTTCATTTTGGCTATATTCCCCATACAATTGCACCACCTCCCTTATTTTGACTCTAGTCCTTCCTTGCCCCACTCCTCCCCCCGCCCCAGTGTATCTCTGGTTTATAGTTGCTTGTTGATTTTGATTTTTACTTTGTATTGATTAGTCCTTTTCCTGGTCTCTTATTTAGGTTTTCTAAATTCCTGCTATGAGTGAGACCATCCGGTATTTTTCTTTTTCTTTCTGACTTATTTCACTGAGCATGATCCCTTCCAGCTCCATCCATGTTGCTGCAAACTGCATGTGTTTATCTTTTTTGATTGCTGAGTAATATTCCATGGTGTATATGTACCACATCTTCTTGATTCAGTTATCTATTTTTGGGCATTTGGGTTGTTTCCATAGCTTAGTTATTGCAAATAGTGCTGCCACAAACAGAGGGATGCAGGTGCCCTTTGGAATTACTGTTTCTGTGTCCTTTGGGTAAATACCTAGGAGTGCAATTGCTGGATCATATGGAAGCTCTATGTTTAGTAGGTCAAGAAATCTCCACACAGCTCTTCATAGTAGTTGGACCAGTTTGCACTCCCACCAGCAATGCAGGAGAGTTCCTTTTTCTCCACACCCTCGCCAACATTTGTTGTTGCTAGTTTTTTTTAATATGTGCCATTCTCACTGGTGAAAGATGGTATCTCATTGTAGTTTTGATTTGCATTTCCCTGATTACAAGTGATGTTGAACATTTTTTCATATGCCTGTTGGCCATTTGCATTTCTTCTTCAGAGAAGTTTCTTTTTAGCTCTTCTGCCCTTTTTTTGACTGGATTATTTTCTTTGTTGTTGTTGAGTCTCATCAGCTCCTTGCAGACTTTTGTGATGAGTCCTTTATCATTAGTGTTGTGTGCAAAAATGTTCTCCCAGTCGGTGGGGTTTCTCTTTGTTTTGGTTATTGTCTCTTTTGCTGTGCAGAAGCTCTTTAATTTGATGTAGTCCCAGATGTTGATCTTTGCCTTCACTATCACTGCTTTGGGTGATGTGTCTGTAAAGATGTCTTTGATGTGCATGTCAATGTAGTGTTTTGCCAATATTTCCTTCTATGTATTTTATGGTTTCAGGTCTTATGTCTAGTTCTTTAATCCAATTAGAGTTGGTTTTTGTGCATGGTGTGAGGTAGTGGTCAAGCTTCATTCTTTTGCATGTAGTGACCCAGTTTTCCCAGCACCATTTATTGAACAAACTTTCTTTGCTCCAGTGCATATTCTTTGCTCCTTTGTCAAAGATTAGTTGACCATAAATCTGTGGGTTTATTTCTGGATTTTCTATTCGATTCCATTGGTCTGTGTGTCTGTTCTTGTTCCAATACCATGCAGTTTTGATGATTATGGCTTTGTAGTATAGTTTGAAGCCTGGGAGTGTGAGGCCTCCATTCCCTTCTTCTTTTTTTTTTTTTTTTCAGAAGAGCTTTGGCTATTCAGGGATTTTGGTGATTCCATATGAATTTCATCAATAATTGTTCTATTTCTTTGAAGAATGTCATTGAAATTTTTTATTGGAATAGCACTGAATCTGTATATTGCTTTTGGTAGGATGGCCATTTTGATAATGTTAATTCTTCCAATCCATGAGCAGGGGATATCTTTCCATTTCTTTGTGTCTTCTATTTCTTTTAACAGTGTTGTATAGTTTTCTTTGCATAGGTCCTTTACCTCTTTTGTTAGGTTAATTCCCAAGTATTTAATTTTTTTTGCTTCGATAATAAAAGAGATGGTTTTCTTGATTTCTTCTTCTTCAGATTTTTTGTTTGTGTATAGGAAGGCTACTGATTTTTGCATGTTGATTTTGTATCCTGCCACTTTACTAAACTGACTGATGAGTTGAATTAGTTTTTCTGTGGAGTTTTTGGGGTTCTCTATTTATATTATCATATCATCTGCAAATAGTGATAGTTTAACTTCTTCCTTCCCTATTTGGATTCCCTGTATGTCTTTCTCTTGTCTTACTGCTCTGGCTAGGACTTCCAGTATTACATTGAAAAGCAGTGGTGAGAGTGGACATCCTTGTCTTGTTCCAGATCTTAATGGAAATGCTTTCAGCTTTTCGCCATTGAGAATGATACTGGCTGTTGGCTTGTCATATATGGCCTTTATGATGTTGAGGTATGTTCCTTGTATCCCAAGAATTTCAAGGGCTTTTATCATGAATGGGTGTTGTACTTTGTCAAAAGCTTTCTCAGCATCTATTTATATTATCATTTGGTTTTTATATTTCTTTTTGTTGATGTGTTGGATAACACTGATTTTCGGATGTTGAACCATCCTTGTGTCCCTGGAATAAATCCTACTTGGTCGTGGTGAATTATCTTATGGACACAGTGTTGGATTCTGACAGCTAAAATTTTATTGAGGATTTTTGCATCCGTGTTCATTAGAGAGATTGGCCTGTACTTTTCTTTTTTTGTGTTTTCCGTGTTTGGTTTTGGTATTAGTGTAATGTTGGCTTCATAGAATGTGTTTGGTATTATCCCTCCCTTCTCAGTTTTTTTTTAAAGATTTATTTATTTTTATACAAAAACTGGGGTACAGGCCAGATGCATGAGATTGAGAAGATTCACCAGATACAGAGTGGGAAACATAACAAGCAGACTGATGAAATACACCACTGAGGGGAGCAGTGGGCGAGTCAGGAGAGGTCTGCTTCACCATGTGGGATTCTCCCCGGCCTGCCGGGATTAAACCCGCACTGCAGAGGCTGCGGACAGCTTCACAGCACAGTGCTCAACCACCTGTGCCACAGGGGAGGCCCCCCTTCTCAATTTTTTGAAAGAGTTTGTGAAGGATAGGCACTAATTTGTTTCCGGATGTTTGGTAGAATTCATTTGTAAATCCATCAGGTCCTGGGCTTTTGTTTTTGGGGAGGTGTTTGATTACCATTTCAATTTTGCTGCTTGTAATTGGTCTGTTTAGTTGTTCTATTTCTTCTTTATCTAGCTTTGGGTGATTGTAGAGTTGTAGGAATTTGTCTATCTCTTCTAGATTATTGAACTTGTTTGCATATAACTGTTCATAGCAGTTTCTGATTATTCTTTAGATTTCTGCTGTGTCTGCTGTGATTTCTCCTCTTTCATTTGTGATCCTATTTATTTGTGCTTTCTCCCGTTTTTCCTTTGTGAGCCTGGCTAGGAGTTTGTCTATTTTATTTATTTTTTGAAGAACCAGCTTTTGGTTTCATTGATCTTTTAGACTGTTTTTTTAGTTTCAATTTCATTTATTTCTGCTTTGATTTCTATTATTTCTTTTCTTCTGCTGGTTTTGGGGGTATTTTGTTGTTCTTTTTCTAGTTCTTTGAGCTTTGAGATTAGGTTGTTTCTTTACGATCTTTCTTGTTTCTTGATGTGAGCCTCTATTGCTATATATTTCCCTCTTTACTGCTTTTGCTGCGTCCCATATGTTTAGGAAATTGGTGTCCTCCTTGTCATTCAACTCAAAGTATTTTTTAATTTCTTCTTTGATCTCCTCACTAGTCCAGTGGTCTTCCAGTAGTGTGGGTTTCAATCCCCATGAGGCAGGAGAGTTCCTTGTCTTCTTTTTATGGTTTATTTCTAGTTTGATGCCTTCATGGTCAGAGAAGATGGTTGGTATGATTTCAGTCTTGGTGTATCTGTTGATGTTTGTCTTGTGTCCCAATATGTGATCAATCCTGGAGAATGATCCGTGTGCGCTTGAGAAAAACGTGTACTCAGATTTTTTGGGGGTTAGTGTTCTACAGATGTCTGTTAAGCCCATGAGGTCCAGATCCTTATTTAGAGCTCTAGTGTCCTTACTTATATTTTGTCTCATTGATCTAGCCATTGGTGATAGTGGTGTGTTGAAGTCTCCTACTACATATGTGTTTTCTCTGATATCTGTTTTCAAAGATGGTAATAGTTGTCTGATATATTTTGATGCTCCTTCATTTGGTGAGTATATGTTAATGAGTGTTATTTCTTCTTGAAGTATTGTCCCCTTGATCATAATGTAGTGACTGTTGCAGTCTCTTTTTACCTTTTTGAGTTTGAAATCTGTTTTATCTAAGTATTGCTGTTCCTGCTTTCTTTTTTGGTCCATTTGCTTGTAGGATTGTTTTCCATCCTTTAACTTTGAGTCTATTTTTATCTTTTGTAGCTAAATGTGTTTCATGGAGACAGCAAAAGCTTGGGTTTTGTTTCTTAATCCAGGCTGCAACTCTGTGTCTTTTTATTGAAGAGTTTAGTCCATTTACATTTAGAGTTAATATTGATATGTTAGCATCTGTATTTGCCATTGTGTTTGTCTTTCCTCTGGTTTTATTTATTTATTCTTTTAATAACTTTTTTTTTTGGCCTTCTTTAGTGGTTATTCATCCCTCTGTTGGTTCTGGCTTTAGGACTCCTTGTAGTATTTTTTGGAGTGGGGGTTTAGTCATAATGAAATTCCAGAGTTTCTGTTTGTCTGGGAAGGTCCTTACTCTTTCTTCATAGAGTAAGGAAAGCTTTGCGGGATAGAGTATTCCTGGTTGGCATTTGTTGTTTTGGAGTCTGTTGACTATGTCCCTCCACTCTCTCCTTGCCCGTAGTGTTTCTTCAGAGAAGTCTGATGTCAGTCTGATTGGTTTACCTTTGAATGTTATCTGTTTCTTCCCTTGTCAGCTTCATTATTTTTTCCTTGTCTTGGCTTCTTGGGAGCTTTACTATTATGTGTCTTGCTGTATTTTTCCTTTTGTCATGGAAGTTTAGTGTTCTTCTTGCTTCTTGTATGTCTATTTTCAGCTCCTTCACGTTTGGGAAGTTCTCTTCAATTATTTCCTTGAATATTTTCTCTGTTCCTACATCTCTCTCCCCTCCTTCTGGGATTCCTATAACTCTTATATTTCCTTTCCTCATGGAGTCAGATCATTCCCGAAGTCTTTCTTCATTCTTTTTCCTTTGTAACTCTCTTTTCTGTTTTGGTTCTTTTTATTTCTGTGTCTTCAAGAGTACATATTCATTCTTCCATTTCATCTATTCTGTTTTCATTGCTTTTCCCAGAGTTCTTTAGTGCCTCCATTAATTCTTTGATCTCCTACATTTCTTTTACTTCCCTCTTTAGGGACTCAATTTCATTCTTCTGATCGTTGATTATTTTTCCCTTATCATTGTTTTCCTTTATGACTTCTGTTTGTTTTTTAATGACGGCAATTTTAAATTCTCTTTCTGGGAGGCTCAGAAGTTCTTCCAAGTCACTGTCGTTGCAATCTGGTGGGTGGTTTTCTTTTGGTGGTGTGTTTTTCTCCTGAGGAGTTGCTAGGTTGCATGTAGTTTTTCTTCTCCTTGCTGCCTGTTTTCTAATTTGCCCTATGCGTTGGGACACTGTGTCGCTGGTACTGGCCGGCATCTTTTTGGTGTGCTCTTTCTGGGATTTCAGAAACTGGCGTTCCAAACGAGTCAAATACTGTTATGCCAGAAGTCTAGTGAGGCAGTGGTACTTTGAGTATGTTAATGGTCGCTGTCACAGAATATTTCCTCCTTCTGTGTTTAATTTCAAAGGTGTGTCTTGAAGTCCTACAGACCTCCCTGGAGGTGGGGCAGCTGGATTGCACTCTGGGTTCCAAAAAAACTGGATCCCCCTCTGGGCTCCAACTTCCTGCCAGGCTTGTGGGGGCCTTCAGCTCACCTCTGACTGTGCAGGGAACCTCCCTCTGGCTCCAAGGGGAGCCTTCTGCCAGTTTCAAGCAGTCTTTATTGAAGAAAGGTCCCTGTTTTAAAATGGCGATGCGGAGATGCACTCCCCTGCACGCCCAGTCTGCCCCAGCTGTGGGTGCCCGCTCCCCCTCTGGGCTCGGTCTGCTGGCCAGAAGGGGCCCGGTGTGGGCCAACTTCCCAGCTCATCTCTGGCTCCGCCGGGAGCTTCTAACAATTTACTTCTTAAAGCTGTGTGAGAACTAGTCTATAAGAACATCAACAATCTGGTGAGTCAAATTTGAATTAAAATTCCTATTTGATCCAAAGTTTAGATGTGTTACACTGATACGAACTTTAGTATTAGGCTTGTATGTTTCATCAGAGCAGCCCCTAAAGATAGCTAAAAGCTTACCTGAGCTGAGATACCAATGAGAAGTAGCCACTTCTGGCATTTGTCAGTCCTGTAGTGGATTATCTGACACCCTGCCAGACTGGCATGTCTATCAAACATCTTCACAGGTTGGGAGTCACCGTCCACACTCCAGTGGTAGACTGCTGTCTCAGTCACCAGGGCAACAGTATTCACTGAGACCCATTTCCAGAAAATCACTTCTTCTGCCATAGTATATGCCTTCACTTTACTCTTCATCTCAATATTAATGATTTGAAGTATCTTCCCAGCTATTAATTAATGAAAATCAGAGAAAGATAAAATAAAAATCTGAAATACAAATTGTTGTGCTTTTAATTTTTAGTTAATGATTACTTACAAATAATCTGATTAAGAGGAGGAAAAGGGTCTCTGAGCAGTAATAAATATACTTTCAATGTCTAAATATTGAGAAGTACAGCCTATGCACAAGGTCCCTCTTCAAAAGAATGGAAAAGAGTGTCAATACATAAATGTATGAATAACAAGAAACAGTTCTATCGAATCAACTATCCAGAGGAATCTATTTTATAGATGACTGGATCAAGAAGATGTGGTACATATATACCATGGAATATTACTCAGCATTCAAAAAAGATAAACACATGCAATTTGCAGCAACATGGATGGCGCTGGAAGGGATCATGCTCAGCGAAATAAGCCAAAAAGAAAAAGAAAAATACCGGATGGTCTCACTCATAGCAGGAATCTAGAAAACTTAAATAAGGGACCAGGAAAATGAATAACTATAAGAAAGTGAAAATCAAAATCAACAAAAAACTATGAACCAGAGACACTTTTGGGGGGGTGGGGGCCGGGAGGGGAGGGATTGGGGTCAGAATGGGGCATTTGCAATTGTATGGGAGAATATAAAAATAAAATTTATTATTTAAAAAAAATGAACAATGATGTAAAAAATAAAAAAAATTAATTAAAAAATTAAAAAAAAATAAGTAGACAAAAACTGCTTAGATAAAAATGTTTTCATTATTGCACCAATTCAAGTCAGATCTTGTTGACTTTGTGATAGAATTAAATGGTTATACAAGAAACTCATTTAATAAATACATCGTTTTATCATGAGCAAAAAAAAAAAAAGAGGAATCTATTTTAGATTGGTATCTCTAGTTTTAGAATATTTAGGACAAAGAAAGCAAAAATATAACATATCTTTTCTCTGTTCAGTATCTCCAACTTTCATGAAAGAAAACCACCACACCTTCAAATCAATTCAACTTTTCTATAGAAAAGAATTATTTTGCATTTAATTCTAGACTAATGTTGCCAAACAGAATTTCCTGTAATGTTCTATATATTTGCACAGCCTATTATAGTAGACATTAGATACATGTAACAATTAAGCATTGAATTTTCACTTTTATTTAACTTTAACCAATTTAAATTTGAACAACCACACGTGACTGGTGTCCAACGAGACAGCACAGTTCCAGACAAAAAGTTTTGGCATCATCCTTTAGCAAAAGATCCACAGTGTTTCCACTTTGATAAAAGAACTGGGTACTAATCTTGATATCTATGCAAAAATTGTGTTTACAGAAAATACTTCTTTCTAAGTTTAGGAATTAGAGCTAAGATTATTTGACCACTTCTACTTGGTATTGTGCTGGATATCCTAGCCAGTACAATAAATCAAGAAAAGCAAAAGGCATAGGACCTCTCTGGTGGTGCAAAGGGTTAAGCACAGCACTATGAAGCTATTCACAGCCCCTGTAGCATGAGTTTGATCGCCCCGGCTGACTAGGGAGCTACCCACATGGCCCAGCAGACCTCTCCTGTCTCACCAGCTGCTCCCCTCAGCAATGTATTTCAGTCAGTCTGCCTGTTCTGTTCCCCACTCTGTCTCTGGTGAATCCTCTCACCCCCCACACCTCTGGTCTATACGCCAGTTCTTGTATAAATAAATAATTTTTTTTATAAAAAAGAAAAGCAAAGGGGCTTCCCTGGGGGTGCAAGGGGTTAAGACACAACCGATGATGCTATCCTCAGCCACTGTAGCACGAGTTCAATCCCCAGCCACAGAAATACCCACATGGCGCAGCAGACATCTCCTGCCTCGCCCACTGCTCCCCTCAGCAGTGTATTTCAGTCGATCTGCCTGTTCTGTTCCCTGCTCTGTCTATGGTGACTCCTCTTACCCCCTCACACCTCTGGCCTGTACCCCATATCTTGTAAGAATAAATATCTTAAAAAAGAAAAGCAAAACACATAAAGGCTGAAAAAGCAGGAAGTAAAACTATTTTTTCACAGACAACATAACTGTTTATAAAGGAAATCCTAAGGAAACTCTAAGTCTACATAATTATCAGAAGTAACATGTGAATATACCAACAACACAGGCTACAAGGTCAATGTAAAAAAATAGCAGAAGAATATCTAAATGCTAACAGCAATTTGGAAATAAAAATTAATTTTTAAAGAATTTATAATGCCACTAAAGAAAAAACTCTCTCAATCAAAAGTCCTATATCCAGCAAAACTGTATTTCAAGAATGAAGGTGAAATTAAGACATGTCCAGATAAATAAAAGCCAAGGAAACTTGTTACCAGTACCTTTGTCCTGCTAGAAATGCTAGTGGGAGTTCTGCAGGTTGAAGTGAAAGGATACCAGACAGTAACTCAAAGCTATATGAAGAAATAAAGGGTTCGGGTCTCTCCTGGTGGCGCAGGCAGTTGAGCACAGTGCTGTGAAGCTGTCCGTAGTCTCTGCAGTGCTGGTTGCTGGTTCAATCCAGGCCAGCCAGCAAGGGTCCCACATGGTGCGGCAGACCTCTCCTGTCTCGCCCTCTGCTCTCCTCAGCAGTGTATTTTGTCAGTCTGCCTGTTCTGTTCCCCGTTCTGTCTCCAGTGAATCCTCTCACCCTCCCATGCATCTGGCCTGTACCCCGGTTCTTGTGTAAATAAATAAATAAATCTTAAAAAAAAAAAAACCTCTTACAAAAAAGAAAGAAAGAAAGGGTTCAAAAAGGTAAATATATGGGTAATTATAAAAGCTATTGTAACAGGGTGGTCCCCAGGAAAGGGGGAGGTTCCAGGTTCCCTGCCCCACCCAAGGAAGGGTGGAGCTGAGCAGGAAGAGGAGAAGCTGCAAAAGAGACTGAGGAAGAAAGGAAGAAGGATGGAGCCAGGAGACCTGGAGGAGGCGCATGGAGCCTAGAGACACGTGAAGAAACTGCACTTGTCTTTGGGTTGTGGACTGGGTGACACAGACGTGGGTGAGACCCATGGGGAGGTGACAATGGCAGTTTTTATCTTAATGTTGATTTTGCTCTTTTGCTTCCGGGCTTGTCTGGTTGTTTCTGACCCTTTTCTGTGGGTCCCCACAGGAAAATGCTTTAGACTTGTGGCAGGCTTTGGGGCCTTGTTCTGGGCCAATCCCATATGGATGGACTTTTACCCACAAGGGGACGGGTAACTTTGGGTGTTTCATTTAAAAACTAGACTCTTTGCCTTACCTGTATTGTTTCCTAGTTTTATTAAAGTTCCTTCCCATTAAAGTCTCCTATGTTTTGTGTTAATGCGGCGGATGGCAGAACCCATTTAGAATAGGCAGGTTTGCGGGGTTTGGGCTGCCCCTCTCCCTGTCCTATAACACTATGATTGGGGCCTCCCTGGTGGCACAAGGGGTTAAGCACCACACTGAAGCAATCCGCAGCCTCTGCAGCACAAGTTCGATCCCCAGCGCAACCCACATGGCGCAGCAGACCTCTCCTGCCTCGCCCGCTGCTCCGCTCAGCAGTGTATTTCGGTCGATCTGCCTGTTTTGTTTCCCCACTCTGTCTCTGATGAATCCTCTCACCACCTGCATCTCTGGCCTGCACCCCAGCTCTTGTATGCATAAATAAATAAATCTTTTTTAAAAAAAGAACAGAAAAACCACCTTAATCATTTTAAAAAGCTAAGATTATGACAACTTTGGTTTGTAAATCCACTTTTTGTTTTCTACATGATTTAAAAAGCTAAAACATTTAAAAATATATTAGTGTATGTATTTGGACAGAATATATAAAGATAAGAGTTCTGTAGCATCAATAACTGAAGAGAAGTAGACCTATGAAGTAGCTGAGTTTTTGCATGTTATTGACATTAAGCTGGCATAAATTCAAATTAGACTGTTATCACTTTAGGATGCTAAAAGTAACAGCTACATACAAAAAGAACAAGAAGGGAACTTGAATATTTCATTCTACAGAAAAAAAGTCACCTTACACAAGAGAAACTAGTAATTCAGGAATGAAGACAACAAAAGTTGTAAGGTGTTTAGAAAACAAACAGAAAATGATAGAAGTCCCTCTTATCAATAATTACATAAAATGTAAAAGAATTAAGCTCTACAAGGAGATCAGCCAAACAGATAGAAAAACATGATCCAACTATAAGCTGTCTACAAGTAACTCACTTTAGATCCAAAAGATACAAATAGGATGAAAGTGAAAGGATGGAAAAAGACACTTCATGGAAATAGTAACCAAAAGACAGCAGGGGTGGCTAGTATCAAACAAAATAAACTTTAAAACTAAGTGAAATATTTTAGTCATTAAACATGAATACTATATGATTCCACGTATATTAGGTACCTAAGCTAGACACAATCATAGACAAAAAGTGCTTGCCAGAAACAGGGGTAAGTTATTATTAAAGCATGCAAGTTTCTGTTTTGTAAGAAAAAATTACAAAAATGTAAGGTAGTGATGGTTATACAACAAAATGAATGCACTTAAGACCACTGAGTTATACACTTTACAATGGTTAAGGTGATAAACTTTATTTTCATATTGGCTTGTCAGAAAACTCATGACATGTTTTTTCTATGTTTTTCAAGCAAAAATGCATCATGACTTTTCTGACAACCCAATATATTTAGCCACAATTTTAAAAACGGAAAAAAAAAATAGTGGGAGAGTGCAGCACCCACTCTGAATAATTAATAAAATAGTCAGGAAAAGAGGATTTGAACATTACTGACCAATTCAACGTGACTTTTTTTAGAATACATCACCCAACAACAAAACACACATTCTTTTCAAGTATGCCTGAAATATATTCTCAAAGAGACCATTTGCTAGGCCATTAAAAAGTCTCAAGAAATTAAAGTTTTTGAAATCACATAAAATAAGCTCTGACCATAAAAGGATTATTAGAAATCAACAACAGTAAGGAGTGCGAGATATCTGCAAATTTTAGAAATTCAACAATTCACTTCTAAAAACCCATGGATCAAAGAAGAAATTTA